CAAGTTTAGCATGTGCGTTAAATAGAAGTTATAAAACATAAAATAAATGCAATACAGCACATGGAAAATTTATTCATATATCAGAAAAAAGTTTGTAGTGGTACCAATATTGTCAACATAGTTCAAACTGTCAACCAACTCCTTGGCAGTGTGTCGAAAGCCTCTCAAGTGTGAAATGGAATTGTGCAAGATAGAGAATGAAGTAGGGCTATTTGGCTCGAGACCTGGAGTAGGTAAATTCGATAGCTGTGATAATATATGAGCCTGTCTCAAGTCCAATAATTTCTACCAGAACCCACCGCACACCCTTTAACACTCCCACCCAACCAAATCAATGATCTGCTAAGATATTTATATACTCATATAAATTATTCCATGTTTAAATGAGGAATAATACCTTCCAGGACACACAATATAGTATAGAAGTCAGCAATGACAAATCTATCCCCAGAATTTAGCAAGGCATTCAAAAATCAAAAGCTTCTACCTAAATAGAACTATAAAGTCTCTGTCAGTTATGATTTTCTTTTTCCACCATCTTAGAGATCTCCTAACATAAATCAAAAGCACAATCTTATGATAGAAAGCAGGAGCTGGGGTGGAAATCTTAAAGATAAAACACTATGTTTTCAGATCGTATTGCTAAACTCGCCCTACTACTGATCGAAAGATACAAAAGTATCTTTTAATTTTGTTTAGTGTACTCTCTAGTCTACCGATTCTTGATTAAATTTTAACTTTTCAAGTGCATTATTCGAAATGTCAAAAAATATACTTCATATAATCAATAAGCATGTTATGGATAATGAGAAAACACAGACTCTCACTCAGACAAATTCACAAACACTTTGTGTGACTCATAATTTTACAGCCATTTCAACATCTATATTCAAGAACGTAACTAAACTAATTTTCATTTGTTAAGACACTGTTTAAGAACATATGTTTGTCAAAAGACAAAAAATGAAGCAATAGAACATAAAAAGATATCAACCGAAATGGCTACAAATGCAGGCTTCACACTTTAAACTCAAAGAAATATAGAGGCAAGGAAGTTGGGTCCCTTTATGTAATTAAACACATAAAAAGAAAATTCACACTGAAAAAGAATAACCTTTGAAACTACATCTCGTAAGCATATGAATCAGAGTGTGAGTAAATAAAAAGGAATTCAAGAGCAGGATAAACAGGGGAAGAAAAGTGGTAAGACTGAAGGAGATGAGTAGAGCTGAGCAAACAAAAAAAGGAATGGAAAGATACCTGGATGGTCTCAGCGGCAAGACGGAATGGATGGGAGATAGCGCGCGGTGTGGTTAAGGCGCGGATGAGACGGGAGACCTGCTGCAGGATACCAGGGTTTGGATAGAACTTGGAAGCCGCTGAGACTCTCAGAGCAGAAAAGAAGCGGAGGTCATAGAAGAAAAGTAAGATAAGAGAAGTGGCAACAGACCGACGTTATTAACGGAAAATTAAACGGAAAGGTAAATTCGTATAAAAGAGTACACAACTCAAAACACAATGTACCAACTCATAAAGCAAATGATTACACCAACACAAATTTTAGCCCTAAAATGCCCTAACCCTCATTGAGGATTATAAGCTTTTAAGATTAGTGACTACAATTGTGTTCAAAATTTAGATCATAGTAACTAAATGTAAGTACCTGTAATGTAAACTTTGAACACCATTATAGTCACTAGTAGTTACTAAGTCAAATTTTAATCCATGACATTTTTATTATTAATATTTAAGGGAAAACCCCTAATTATTTTCTAAAATAAAAGTAGAAAGCTTTACTGAGAAGTTCAAAAAGTGCAAGTCAAAAACTTGAGTTTGAACAAATGGAGTAATTATATACTCCGTAATTTTTAAAAGAGCTTTCTAAAAAAAATTGACTCGCCCAATCTTGTAAATGTATTATCTTTTGAACTTCTAATTCATATTCTTTGTACAACAGCTTCATCCCCCCCCCCCCCCCCCCCCCCCCCATTTTGGAAAATTTGATTAATGGAAATGGCTAAATATTTCTACACTTGTCACTCTAAATATCTTATTATAGCAGGAGATTCATAGCTGCCAACATATATATTCTCAACTTTATTCAATTTGGGGTCTCATCTTTGCACGTCGTGGAAGAGTAATTGGGAGTTGAGACATATACGGCACATCAAAATTGTTCTTGGATAGGAAATATATTTTCTGGTTAGGTTCATCACTGGAAATCATTTGCAGGGGAGATCATTCAAAATAACTTCTTGTCTGAATGTGAATCAGTGGACTTCTGCAATCTGCATGCAAGATTGCATGTCCCGAGATGAGCTAAAATAGGGACTCTTCATTACATAATGAATTTGTAATAAGTTGAAGCGGCTTAATTAATGATTTTGTGAGACCATTTTGATTATGAACATGCAATAGAATAATAGATATCCTACTTCTATCCTGAGGACTTACAAATATACAATAATCATTAAAAGTTTGGGAGGTGAGCTCAACAACGTTGTCAAAGAGATTATTATAATTGAATGGTAAGGAAATTGTGCCCTCGTCAAATCGATATTAGATTATAATATCAATTGATAGCAAGCAATCTCTCAAAATTCAGGTTGCTAGTCGATAATAAAGACACATGTGACATTTAGTTGATGCATCAATTAAAACTGTGAAATATCAAAATGGCCTACATGGTGAAAGAAACATATATCGCTTTGAATATGCTCATAAAGGAAAGTGATCTAGTAGAGGAAGCGGTCCAACCCAGCTGACACTAGTGGAAAAAACACATTCTATGTCGGTTAAAATGTACTTTCTATAACGGTTAGGGAACCGACATAGTATCAAGGGATATAGAAAGTCAGGGCATTTTCATAATGGGCGGACTGAACCCACACGGAAAGTTTTATATTGGTTGGAAATATAATAGAACCATTATAGAAAGCCTACTACCGATATAACAAGTCAGTAAAATTTCAAAAAAAAAAACAGCATAGAAAAAGTTCAATCCGATTAAAATAAAAAAATAAAAAAGATTAATATATAAATTTTTCCATAGGAAAATTACTGCATTAATATAAATTATCAATATTCTGAGAAACAATGCACTAAACCAATTTCCAAATTTACTTTTCAATATACACAAAAAATAATAACTGTCACCTCTATGCATGTCCACCATGACAATCAAGTAAAAAACTATCTACAAAATACATTGACACCTTTGCCAACAAAAACTGCCACTACACATTTAAGGCCACAAACGTAAACTTGAACCATGAACCAATATCTTTAATTTTTCGTTGCACCAGTAGAACAGAAGACTTGCACTAAAACCTTAGCAACTTGAGATCGAGCACCTTAAACCATCATAAAAGACAATTATGAGTTGAAACAAGGTGGAGTCAAATATCGAAATAATGAATAGTTCAATGGAGTGAATTGATTTAGTATTGGGAAAGCTTTTACCTCTACACGCGTGGAAACATATTTTTTCACAAATATTAGCATACTTCTTTTTTATAGCGCGTTTAATCCCTGCAAGGGAAGCTGAAGTAAGGAAAACATATGCATAAACACCCGTTCTAATTTCAATAGGATGAAATGTTCCAAATATGTTTAGAATTATATAGCTCTAAACTAATCTAGTTGTATGGTACATGCCAATGATTCTGCCATTCGGGAGATCCTTATACTTGTTGGCAAGGTCAAAGTCTGTGTCTTTAACCCGATCGGGTATTTAAATAAATTATTAAATCCAGCTACCATGCTCAAATAGCATGCTAATATTTTCAAACTTCAAAATTCAATTGAAATCAAATGTTAAGTTGGAATGAGTTTTAAAAATATGAAGCAATTCATACATGAATCTCATATAAATCAATATCTCAAAACTTGTTATTCATCTTGGAAGGGGGTGGGGTGAAATGAAATGCTTTCAATGCGTGACAGGCTTTCATGTTGATTCATAACAAAACAGATGCACGAACCCTTAACTAACTTTTAGGTTAAAAACTTTCCTTGTAGACGTCCTAAAAGTTGATGCATTAAAAGTTAGTAAAAATGTATAATAAACAATCATTTTATATATGCATCATCACTTTTATCTGTAATGTAAAGAGTACCAATTGACTGAGACTTCGATTTAACCTATTACCTACAATGATAATCACTGCATTTATCATGAAATGTTTTGTATAAGGTGAGTGAAATAAATGGATCAAATAAGAACCTCTCTTTTTATAAGCATTTTCTCATGAATGAGAACTTCCAAAATCTCTTCAATTGGCTAGGCTATGAGGTTAAAGTTAAGCAAGAAACTGATAATTTGCACTTACGAACAAGAGATAAGCAATCATGGTAAATTAGAAGTATTGAGCTTTCTGTTTTGAAGTAATTTTTTAGTTGTAAAACTTGAATAAGGGGGCAGTTTAGTTGTGCATACTCTTTTGGCTGAAATCTGAAAGACGTAATCATCAATCTAGTTGATCACAAAATAATTTTTATTTATTCGAAACTGACCGAACTACGATCAAGAAAGATCGAAATCGGAAATTGCCTAGTGGCGGCTCTGCAACTATTTGAAAAGCGTGATATCATTGTCACTCATATTTTTATATCACATTCACATATCACTGTTATTATAAGTCTCATTGTCGCCGTGCAAAAATAATCTGCAAACATGAAAACAAACATAATTTTCCAACAAGACAGTGGTTCCCAGCAGCGTCTGGCAACAGATGGGCAACTGTGTGCAGTGTGCTAGGGCAGAGATTGTACACAAATTAAAATAAGAAAATAATTGCACTAATTAAACAAAAGTTTAACAATATTTTTGTAAAAAGGGAAAAGCCGGAAAACTATTCATTTCTGAAAGCTAGAGCCTAGAGGTAATAACTGTATCCTTAATCTTATTCTTTTTTCAAAAACACCTTTTTTCTCCGTCTTATTTTAATGTAAAAAGTACTATTATCATTTTGCTTCCTTTTATACATTTAAACTAAATAGTTTAAGCTAACCAACTAATTTACCCAAACACATTTAAGATTCTGGCCACAAGAATTTCAAATTTCAGTTAGTTTTTCAACTGGACGTGCCAAACAAACCTGGACGCTTCAATGAAAAGTACAACAAATTATGTCAAAAGGATATATATTCCATAATATGGTAGGCATGAGTCAACGACGTTGTGAAACAACAACGAAAAAAGAACTGAGATGACATTCATTTCATCATTTACAAGTTCACCTGAACAAATCATTCACAGGCCGGTTTTGTGTCAAAGCTGCTCAAGCATATTGCAAAAGCTTGGAAAGCAGACAGTGGGTAGCGGTAATCCATGGTGAATATATCTTTCCCAATCTTCCCAAACTGCAGGATCACCTTCTCCTGTTCTGCAGCCGGCACATTGTGAGAAGGATCAAAAGCTGCCACAAGCTGGAAATTCTTGACAGACGCCACAGTAACACGCCCTTTAAAATTCAAGCACCAGCATTGTAGCTGTTCATGCCACCTGGGTGACTTGTTCTTGAGCACAAGCGGGTCCCGTGAATACTCGATGGGGATAGGCTCATCGTCTATCTGCTGATCCTTGATTTTAGAATCCGATGATGTTTCTGTTGTAAGAGCACTCCCCCCCTCCTGGATATAAGTGGCGGGAATAGTGTGCATAGCGCAATGCATTCTCCTTGGGCCTCTGGTGCGTAGGACATTCAGCTCATAGGAAACAGTGGCAATGCAGTAATTACAGGCAGGTATTCTGGGAGATACTTGTTTGGCATTAAATCTTCTGCTGAGCTGATTCAGTGGTATGGCAGAACCGCTTGTGGGTTGGGTGTCATATACCGTAAACTTGGTACCAAGAAAGTTGGACCTGCTCAGGTTGGTTCCCCTATTATCAGTTAGGGCACAAACATAACAAAAACTTGCCACTGTTTGGTAAAAGATGAAATAGGAGAGACATTGAGAACTATTGTTTTATTGGAAGAGCAATGGCCTTCTCCCAATTTCTTCTCCATTTTTCTTCTACCGAACAAGTGAACAACATAAAACTCTAGCCCATTTCTCTATTTCTTTCCCAAACCAAATAATGGCAAAAGCTTTTTTTCTTTTTATCATGCAAAACTTTTTTATGTGAATAATCTATGACCTGAATAATCACGCAGACCCTGAAGTTAGCGACAGGGAAGCCTCTCTTAGTGGCCTTCCACGAGATTCAAACTAGCTCAGAGAAATTTTTATTCCTCATTTCTGACCAGTTGAAGAACTCTGGAAGGTTTGTAAGTTTTTCATTCAATTTTCTGTTTTTATTGTTCCAGTTGTTTAGGGGAGGTGGGGAGTGTTTGACAGGTACACAGAATATAACATAAAAACTTGCCTCAGTTTTCCAACATATGTATTGCTAGCTCGTGAAAATTCATCTGCAACCAAAGATATGACAAAGTCTGTGCTGGTTGCCCTTCTGATCTTTTTGGCTGCCAACAATAACTTATCACTTGCATCCTCAGCTGTGAATAGATATAAGATATGGTTAAGACTACACTATACCTCACATAAATTTACCTATTTCAATAACTTTTATTAGCCTAGTATTCCTCGGGTAGATCTCCATAATACCAAAATCATGAATTACTTATCAAGAAATAGCAGAACATTTTAACCTACAGCACAGCTTACATGGAGCCAAACCAAAGTACAAGCGATAAACTGAAGAAGCTCTGTCTCTTTTGATAAAACACTGGATAGGGGATTCGCGTGGGCCAGGCTGTTTCACGAAGCAAAAATGAAAAAAAAGTTAGTTTCATTTTGGTAATTGTTACTCCGTATTTAGCTGAAATGACTGAATTGGCTAGATTTAAAGTAACATCATCAAACGAGTATACTCTGTTGATAAGTAGAATGAGCAATATAAGAAGACTATGGCTACCGAATGGATCCTTAGTATCAAAGGTACCTGTTTAAGAGAAGTGGGAAAGGTAAGCTTTCCACATTCCTCTGGGGTCTTTACAATATCCTTAGTGATTCCTCTCCAAGACTTGCAAACCGAGGCACATGAGACAAGCACAGTCCGGGCAGGCCAAGAACTCTCACTTTCTTCAACTCTCCGAATTATATCCAAAAGCAATTCAGGTGGTAAGTTTGCCCAATTTCCTTGCTCAATCGGATCATCGGAAGGTGGTGCCACATCCGGCGCTATATGTGCTCGTGTCCTGCTTAGCCAATGCCTCCCTTCCAAACTTCTCCTCGATCTGTTCCCTATCGAGTCTTTCATCTCCTTCAATTCGCGTACAATGCTCTTGAACGACATGGTATCTCATAAAAAAGTACTTTCCTTGAACCATTTTGGCAGAGAATGAAAACCAATCAGAAATGGAAACTGGGAAGCTTTCTTTATTTCTCAAAAAAGTGAAAACCTTACACTTTACGTATATTTTAACCAGTGAACCTCATCCTATAGGGCGTTGGACTGGTAGATCTGAATATTTGATGGTGAAGTTTCAATCTTTCTTCTCTATTTCAACTAGAACTAACATAAATCAGATCTTTAAGGTTTTCGCTGAACCAAGCTCTTGAATTTATTGGTTGGTCACTAAATTACAGCTTACTACAACTCCTTAATTTAGAAAATTTAAATGAAAGAACAGATAAAGAACGAACCTGAACACCCTCTAAGCTGGATCTATTCACTGCTCATAAGATATGAAAAGATATGTAAGAACAAGCAAAACAAGATGCGATAAAATGAGAGGACAGTTAGTGATAATCGACTAACCGCAGCATATTAGATGAACGGCGTGGTGTAGACTGCGTCCGACCACGCCGGTAGAGAGAGATCAGCGTCTGGCTGAGAGCAATATAGTATACGACCGTCTGGCTGAGAAATGAGCGGTAGAGAGAGATGGTAGATCGGATGAATTGGTACACCGAAGAGAAACGAGAATCCTTCCACTAAATTCAGTTTTCACTTTCGCCCAATAACTTTTAAATTGTTTAATTTGGCAGATTTTGAGTTATACTCCTTGTTTTTGTAGTATCCATTTACATCGTCCATCCTACTTCCTCCGTTCTTTATTATTAGTCCTCCATTCCATTTTGGGTTGTTTTTTATTATTTGTCCTTCTTTCCATTTAAGGAAAGTTTTTACAATCAATATACCTTTATACCCCCACTTTTATTACCATTACCTCTTTCTCTTTCCTACTTTTTCATTTACTCACTAGTCATTACACCTTTTACACTACTCCTATTACTTTCCTCTTAAAACCCGTGCCAAAACCTAGGAGGACTAATATTAAAGAACGGAGGGAGTACTAAAATTGTCTTATTTTGTGCTCCGTATTTTGGCACACGGCACTAAGATTATTTTATATCAAATTTAATAAATTATTGTTTTGCTGTAAATTTTTACTTTATTTTTATTTTAACAAGTTCATATTAATCAAATAAACCTATTTTTCTTAATAATTGTGTCACTCCCTCATATCTCAATGTTAATGTGACGAAGGTAGTAACAACATTGAAATCGATTAAATGGGTTGAATCAATTGAAACCGATGAAATTCTGTTTTGCAAAAATACTCAATATTATACTTAAAATATTTGTTAATGATAAATAAAGAAGAATATATGAAAAATAGTTAAGATGACCTTTTACCATAAATTCATTCAATTGTTCACAAAAAGTAACTTAAAACTCACTCATGTTTATTATTACCCCCCCCCCTGTTCCACTATTATTGTCTCATCTTTCCTTCTCGGTCCGTCTCAATAAGATTTCTCACAATGGTAAATTTATGTGGTCCTAGATCATTCTTAATAATGTGTAGCCTACTTATGTCTCAATGTTTGTGGAAAAGAGGTATATGTTTGGTAAACAGAATTATTGATAAACTAAAATATTAGTTATCAAACGGGCTTTTAATATCTTTAAGTTGGAAAGTAAATATTAAGTTAATAATTTTTTTTAAACTGATATGTTCTAAATCTCATAAACTAATCTAAAGTTTAACCTACATGTAAAACTCACTCACCTCAATAAGCATCAAAATATTTAAAAATCTTATAAATTGTTTTAGCCACGATTTAATATTTTATACATATCATACTCCATTAATCTTAAATTTTAGTATTTAATGTGGAGTACATCGCGGCTTTCCCTCTAGTAGGGTTTGAGAACTCCGCCATTTTTCGTGCGGCTCGGAAGATGGAGAACGAAGGACTTAGGAACGGAGGCAGAGAGCAGGCTCTGCGAACGGCTTCGCTGGGCTGATGACGCAGAGGAAAGAACAGGGGAGAAGCGGCGATCCCTCAATCTCGATCGGAAGAAACTATGACGAGGGAGAGGTGCACGGATTTCGAGCGGGCCAGATGACCATTGACATTAGAGGATCAATCAGAGTGGTACCAAGGATACGGCCTCCTCCTGAACCACCGCCATGGGTTGTACGAGGTGCTAGAGTCCGTGAAAGTTTTCATATTAGTTATTGTTATTCTGTCATTTGGCTTCTTGTTATCGTCTATGTTGTTAGGTTTATCAGTTTGTTTGAGAATTCAGCCTTTTTTATGTCATTGAGTATGCTTGGATCTATGGGAGCAGGGACGGCTGTGTCAATGCCCGATACGTGGTTAGCAATTCGTGTTGCTCTTTCAAGGATGACCGTCTCTAAGTCTGATCATAGAGTTTACAGTCGTAGGTGTTGGATTTTAGTTGGTGTCTGTTTTGTTTTTCCTTTGATTGATGTAATAATCCTGAAACTTATGCTATGAAAGAAGACTAGTTGACGATCAAAAAATGTTAACTGGTGTTCACCAAAATACGATTTATCATACGTACTTAATTATTTGAATTGAAAAAAGTTTTCTGATTGGATTCCAATATTATTTAGAAAATTTAAACATGTGTAAATTAAACAAACCATGCGAGGTTTGATAAACATTTAAACACTTTGTTGCGATGCATGCAATTGATGATAAATACTGATCAATACGTAGTTGCGTACTTGCGTACTTTCCATTATCAAAACGTTGTTGCATACTTTCTCATTATTACTTTTTCGGGATGTGCTTTCTCGCATATTATAGTACAAAATTGTTTGATGTACACGCAACATTGGGTAATTCTCCCGCCCCGTAACCGTTCCATTACCCAATGAGTAATTTTTATTCAAATCATAACCGCCCCCAACGGGTAACGGGTATAACCATGGGTAAGCGTGAGTAATCTCTTTATTAAATGAATCATTGATATTTTAATATAAAATAAAATTTTAAAAGGCAAAAAATGGCATCACCTAGACGACTATGGACTCAAACGCCACTATAAAACTTCGTATATCTACAAGACGAAAAAAGAAGACAATCTAAATTAATGTGAACCTAAAAATACTTGATTTGAAAAATAATTAATCACGAAAAAGATTTGATAATAATCAAACAAGACTATTAAGATCTATTATAACATTTCATTCATACACTATAGTTAGTACTCCCTGTCTCCCTCCGTCCCATTTTATCTGTCTTACTTTTCTTTTTTGGTTGTCCCAAAATAAGTGTCATCTTTCTCTTTTGGAAATAAATATGTGGTTCACAAATCACATGTCAATCTCAATCACAATTTTTACCTTTTCAACCATTTTATTAAAGATTGTGCCAAAACCAAAGGAGATATATAAAATGGGACGGAGGTAGTACATCTATTATCCATATATACACAATTAAAATAGAAAAATCTCATCGTGTAATAGTTGTGGAACAAACTAATGTAGATAAAGCGATTGGAGTAGATACTAATGTAATACAAATATAACTAAAAACAAATGGGGCGGGTAATGGGGCGGGCATGTATAAAACCGTAACCGGCCCGTTACTCGTAAAAACAAAACGGGTATTCCCCACCCGTATCCGTTACCCGGTCAATGCGGTTTTCCCCGTTTTGACCGGGCCGGTTTGGTGCGGGTATCCATCTGATCGATCACAATTGTCAATTGTCATCCCTAGGTACACTCAATATAAGCATTCAAATTTTTACCCTTCCTCACTTTCTTAAACATGTGAACCATTCTTCTTCTTTTCTTCTGCCTTCTTTCTTCTTCTTTTTCTTCTTTCCTCTTTCCTTCTCTCATTTTCATATTCTATCTTCATCATCCTCTCCACCTTTAATTTGTCTTTGCAAGGGGAAATAATAATGATGAGAGTTATCGGAAAGTTACTGGAGAGTTGAACGGCTGCCAGATTTTTTTACCTGTGTGATATATAAAATATTGTCTGTGTAACGTTAAAAAATGATATAACTTGTCTGAAGGGAAAATAAAACTGAAAACTTGTAAGATTTTGTTAAAGTTCCCCATAAACAAAAAAAGTACATATACAGACTGTTATTTCTTTCAGTGTCGTTGTACACTGACAACAAATGTTGTAAACAGTCAGAGTTAGATTGCACCAAAATGAATGTCTGTGTACACAGACAAATAATGTGTAAGCACAAAGACATTGGTTTCCGTGCAAACACCCTAACATTTCTGCAAAAGATATACGCCAATCAATGTGATATACATGCAAACTAATGTCTGCATACAGACAATAGTCGTCTGTAAGCAGTCAAAAAAGGTGTGTACCCATACATCTTTTGTTTCTGTGGGTGTGACATTTTTTGTGTACACTAACAACTTAAACCCAATATTAGTTTTCTGTGAAGTCTGGGTGAGCATATCGGTTTTCAGTTCATTTTTTATTGGTTTTGGATCGGTTTGAAACGAACTGGAAAAATTGTTATCAAACGTACTGAGTTCCTTTCGCAGTACTTATTTTTATTTCAATTCGAGCAAGTATGGTCGGATTATTTTGACTTTTGATGAACTCTTGATAGGCAATGCTACATTTTCGGTCGTTTTAGGCTTCCTCTTGCCTGTTTTGTGTCTAGCGAGTCATGTTGCTTTGTATGGGTGGCTGACTCTAAGATTATTCCTAGGGCTTTCAATCGGATCTGTAATATCTGTCTGAATTTGATCTTGCGTGTTTGCTTTATTTTAATGGAAAGCCGTTTTGATGATCAACAAAAAAATACTACCAAATTCAAAAAAAGGGAAAATTAGCAAATAATATCCTCACAGTATAGTAAAAACATTAATTAAGCCTTTTACTATATAAACATCCACTCAAGCCCTTGGTATGTTTTTACTTGCACTGAAATATGCTAGTCTGTTCTGGTTTATTATAGTCTGATCTGGTCTGGTAATGTCTAATCTCCGTGTATTTTAGAATTATGAAATCCTGGTCTAATTTGATCTGGTCTGTTCTATTTAAGTCTAGTTTGATCTGGTCTGATACTGAAAATGATCTAAGTAAAAATATTCTTAAACGTTCAAAAATCAGCCAATATGGCATTTTAGCGGGTCAGTAACCGGTTAGTTGGTAATTATTGATGAAACAGCTACACGCATGGCTTTATATTTTTATTTTTTTTGGAAACGGGTTTCCTATTCTACTTGAGCCAACTCATCTAAAGCCGTCAAAATGGGCTGAAACCCGCGGGTTGGCCCGTTTCAACCCACTTATAAGTGGTTATGGTTATCATTTTTTAGGCCCGATTATTTCACGGGCTAGCTTGGTGGGTCAACCCTAACGGGTTGCAGGTTTAGCGGGCCAACCCGCAGTCTGAATACAAATACTCCAGACAGACTAGATATCTATGTATCTATATAGACTATATATCACGAATAGTCTCTTTGGGAGTAAAATCGAGACAGACCGCCGTCAAAGTGCCCAACAAATGAAAGGTCACCAAGGAGATGAAGAGACATCAAATAATTCAGAGTCTCTTTGGGAGTATGGGAGAAGTTGTATAGAGCCGAAGAAACAATTGGTAGGCCCAATTATATTAGTTCTCTTCCACAATCTTCCATTTTAAAAACATTTGTAATGATGTTTGCCTTTTTAACTTCTGGACAGCTTTTTGGACTTACAGAGTGATGAAGTCAATGACAGTCATATATCTTACTGCCTCCGCCTCGTAAAGGTTCACCATATCGATTTTTCTTGGTCAAAGATGACAACTTTGGACAATGATTTTGGTTATTATATTTGTTTATAATTTATAAATTTTATACTTTTATGAAAATATTTTAAATACGGAACATTTCCGTATATTTTTCATATTCAAAATAATTTCATATAAAAAATATCAGTGATCAAAGTTGATTGTCATTTACCAAGAAAAGTCAATTTTGGCGAACCTTTTTGGAACGGAGAGAGCATTACTTTAGTTGTGTTTGGATTTTTAATTTAGATATTTATTTATCTATTTGTTTATTTTTGTTTTGACATTGGTGGCCCGTGGGTTGGCCCACAAAACCCGTGGGTTAGGTGGGCTGGGTTAGGGTCACAAAAACTCTGGCCCGACAGTAAACGGGTTGGCCCGCCCCGACCTGTGAAACTCATAACCCGCCGTGGGTCGGGTCGGGCGGGTTGGCCCGTTTGACAACTCTTTACTCATCCAACCGGCAGAACAATGCACAAAGACTCGGAGAGTCATACAAGATCGATGGAAGCTTCATTTTATTTAATGAGAAAATGGAAACTAATAATCCAATCTTTTAACACTCTTATTACAATAGTCCCACCTTTTCGTTATTCAAGAATAATGCAACCTTTGCACCCCATCTTTATTCGCTGGTCCCTGGCCGGTTAATGACTTGCTATTCCAAGTTATTTTCTTATCTTTGCAAAATATTATCTTTGTGAAAAGTGTGATTTATGGTATAATGGTTTGCAAAGATAAGAAAATAACTTAGAATAGCAGGTCATCAACCAGTTAGGGACCAGTGAATGAAGATGAGGTGTAAATGTTGGATTATTCATGAATAACGAAAAGGTGGGACTATTGTAAGAAGACCGCTAAAAAGTTAGATTATTAGTTTCCATTTTCCCTTATTTAATTTTGATTTGATCTTCTTCCATTTTTTTGTCATAATCTTTTTCCTTTTTTTGTACAATTCTTTCTAAACCTATATAGTATCTGCTCAATGTTAATGTCAACATCCTTGAACTGGGATGGAATTCGAACATGTGACCTCCTCCTTGGGAGTGCCACAGTGTTGACCATAATCTTCTTCCTTTTTTCTTCACTGCTAAACTCAAAAACTCATTCAAGAGAGCACCAATCCTTACTTCAACTTCCTGTTCTTCTGTTCTTCCACCCATAAGACACGAACTTTCTTTTTCCTTATTTTATACTCCGTATATTCTTCCTCTTTTCTCATCCATGTTTTATTTGTTTGGAACTACGCTAGTAGTGTGTGAAGGAGACTACTTAACACTTATTTTTTAGCTGGCTTAATTGCAAAAATGAGACATTTTCCCCTAAATAAAGGTGTTAAGATTAAAATACCCGAAAACCGAAAACCGAACACCGAATCGAAAAAACCCGAACCGCAACCAAAACAACCGAACCGCAAGAAAACCGAAACCGAACTCAAAAAACCGAACCAAACCGTAGTCATTTGGTTTCGGTTTTGGTTTTCACATCTCAAAACCGAACCAAACCGAATAAACCGAACTTTTAAAAACTAGTTATTTTATTTATTAATCATTAAGTATAATATTTTGTTTAGTTCTTAATTCTTAATTCTAGAAAATTAATGTTTGATACTATATTTATTATGATTTGCAAGATATTGAAATTTAATATTTATGGTTTAATTAAGTGAAACACTTGTACATTCACTTCAGTCTATTGCTATAATACTAATATTTTAAATCGTAATTTACATTTTGCTTGTTGTTGCATGACAATGATATTTTGTTAATATATTATATGTTATGTATATATGTTTGATACACATAGTTTTTTATATTGAACAAATATGTATTAATATAAATTATACTGTTGGGGTATTGGGCCGAAGCCCAATACCCCCGGCCCAAAGCATGGAGAAGCCCAGAGGAACCAAAGAGCCCAAAAGGACATTGGGACCTCCCGATCGGGGTACCTGACCGCCGTGACCGGCGTTCGATGTAACTTACCTACTTGCGACAATTAGCGGAGTAATAACACTAAAGTCCTACGGTGGGGTCCCACACCCCAAACGGGGTTCTCGAACGGGTACCAACAAGTGGCAGAAAGCATTAAATGCTGGAGTATGGCAATAACAAGTGGGGGCATGGGTGCGCAAGTGGCAGAAGCACCAACCAACGGGGTCCGGCCACGTCATCACCTCACCTACCCCTCTCTAGTATAAATACCTATGTTGAATACATTGTAAGGGTTAGCATTTTGATACTCAGAGCTTAGCAATAGAATCATCTCTCTTGTTCTTGTACTAATCTCATACCGACTTACTGTTCGGGTAGTTTCAGTGTAATCGCATAATTACGTAATACAAGTTAGCTTCTGAGTGCAGTCTTAATTCACTGTTTTATGTTTTATACACCTTTTAGAGTCAAACCTACATCCTAAATATCCAAATGGTGTGTTGGGCTTTCGGATCTACGGGACTTAACCTCAACATTGGCGCCGTCTGTGGGAAATTGAACAAAAATCCCAAGCAAAACTATTCGATCTAAGCACCACCTTCTTCAAGATGGTTAAAATCGCCTCAGCGACACCAAGCTCTGCTACCAGGGGCCGGAGGGGCCACGGATCCTCCGGGAACTGGTCCACACAGGGGCACGCCAGCGGAAATGCCTCACAAGGATTCGAGGACGTCATTCCTGATGACGTCTGAAGAAACCCTCAACTGATGAGGGAAATGGCAGCAGCCATGCAACGCATGGCGGATGAACAAGAGAGGGGTGGGGCTACCTCCACCGATGACACCTCCAACTCACTATCCCCATCCGCTCCATGCCATCATTCGACGAGGGGGGAGACGATACTCAAACCACTACCGCTTCAGCCCACTCCCAGGCGTACCGAGGAAATCATTGGAGAGCCCACACCTCCCGGCACAGGCAGTACACTCTGAGGAACCGAACCCCGATCAGGTCTAGGGGCGGGGCTCACTTCAGGGAGCCTACTCCCATAATAGACCCTGTGAGACAACATTTCCAGTATGTGGAGAGGGATGGAGAAAGATTCATCCGCCGAAGAAGGGAAACAACTGCACCTCCACCAGAACAAACTCAGGAGTTCATGGACCTGAGGATTCCGCCTCCACTTCCCCGAACGGCCTAAGAGGAAGAAATGGCCGAAATGAGGAGGCAAATGGCTGAACTCAGGGAGCAGGTTAACCACACCCTCCAACAGACCCCACCAGCTCGGGTTGGGATTACTTCTCCCTTCACTTGGGAAATTATGAATGCGGAAATATTAAGGGACTGTAGACCCCCTAACAGCCTGACTTACGATGGGGTGGGAGATCCCCATGTACATTTAAGAAGCTACCAAGGAGGCCTTATGCTCTTGGGAGCCATAGATGCAACAATTTGCAGGTTATTCTACAGCACTCTTCGGGGGCCAGCACAAGAGTGACAGGAGTGGTTCGGCACCTTGCAGCCGGGCTCGATCGGGAGTTTTGTTGAACTGTCCACATTATTTTTGGCTCAATTTGCCTCCAACACTACCCCCAAGTTACATTTTGGTTACCTGACTAGTGTGGGGCAGGGACCAAGGGAATCTATCAATGACTTCCTGACCAGGTGGAGAAGCGAGACCCTAAAGGTGACGAGCATGATGGATGAGACAACGATCCTCCTATTCACTGATGCCCTCCAGACCGGGGAACTGTACAGGGATTTAAACAAGATCACTGGTACGGGCTATCCCAATGTACTAGAGCGGGCCAGGAAACATGCTGCCCTGGAAGAAGAAATCAGGATACGAGACCGAACGGCCCAGCAACCTGCCCCTACAAGGTTGGCTGACCGGTTGGGTCCCATGCCAACAACTGCGCCACCCCACCCCAAGGCCAAGCGTTTTACTCCGCTTGTCATGACAATTGCCAACGTATTCCAAAAGGAGAGGGGTACTATTCCCCCCGACCGATACCAAAGCTTTCATGGGGGCAGATCCGAACGCCTTCTGCAAGTATCATAAGCGGAACAGGCACCTTACTGAGAACTGTCGGGCTTTGCAGATTGTAATTGAGGAATTGATTCAGCAGGGTTATCTGAGAAAATATGTGAATACAAACCCGAACAACCCTTCCCCGAATCAGCGCCCTGTTAGAAAGCCAAACAGCTGGAGAAGGGACACCCGGCGAGATGCTGAACTCCGAAATGATGCATACATTCCGCCCAGGGAAGAGGCTGAAGGATCGGGGAACCCAGGGAAGAAGCCAAACTCGGATACCATGACAAAAGAATGGGCAGTTTGATACTAGGGATTCAGGTCAATTTAGGAGATGGCAATTTCAAATCAATTTAATTCAGTTTGATATGATTTAGTTAAGTTAAATCAAATCACTGTAGTCCCCCTACCTAAAAGAATGGACATTGAAGATGATAAGAGTCAAGATGTTTTTATATGGACTGTTTTCAGTCCCAGACCTGACCAAAGCATATTTAAACAAATCAGATCAGACCATGTTTTCATAGTTCTAAAATACACAAAAACAAGATATTTACCAGACCAGATCAAACCAGCAAATTTTAGTCCAAGTAAAAACATCGATAATATTTGGGCCTTTTGATGTACGAAGTATTTAGATTGGGCCGAACGGCCTTTTGAAACTACGAAGAAAGAACTTTGAGAACAAACAGAAAAAGCGGCCCACAGTGTGCTCGCCACCGATTCAACGTTCGTCGAACTTCCGATTAACGCATGTCGTAGCTCCCGAAAATGGCTACCGCCTGTATACGAAGACTCGTCTCGCATATCTCCCGGAATACCTCCCCCACCCACTCTTTTGGAGCAACCACTGTAACCCGTTCTTCCGCCTCCTTTTCCGTCTCCTCACCGCGGACTTCTTCCGCCAAGGTTTCCGACCGGATCGTGAATCTCTTTGCAATCGATCCCGATGGCCAGAAGCGCAACGTGATCGGACTCTCCGGCCAGACACTTCTCAAGGCTCTGACCAACCATGGATTAATTGACCCGGCTTCCCACCGTCTCGAAGATATCGATGCCTGCTCTGCTGAGTGCGAGGTCCACATTGCGCAGGAGTGGCTCGAGAAGCTTCCGCCGCCTACTTACGATGAACGGTACGTTCTCAAGAGGAACTCTAGGAATAAGGTTTTGAACAAGCACTCCAGACTCGGATGCCAGGTCGTCCTCACTCAGGAGCATCAGGGTATGGTCGTCGCTGTCCCTGAGCAAAAGCCTTGGGATACTCCTTAAAGGAGTGAAGCTCTGCAAGGTTTGTCGTCTTGAAATTGTATTGTTTAGCTCTTAATTTGAATAATATGTAAACATTGCAAGGCACCTGAAAATATTATCCTTTCATTGTGACTTTCTGGAAATTTCCTGGAACTCATTTATTTCTGTTTGCTAAGCCTTTTTTTTTGCTATACTAGTTCACAGTGCGAAATTATTCACTTTCCTATGCTCCTGATATCATACTGTAAGTCTGTAATGGTATCAATTGGTGCTTAAATCTTAATTAGCTTCACTGTGTGAACAGATGAACCTTATTCGAAAAACTGGAAAAAAGAACCAGCCTTTACTAGTAGTTTTAATACTAACTAGATATTAACTAAGATCTGAGACTCTGAGGATCCTCAATTGATTGTGGGATCAATGTGGGCTTTAAGTCTGAGAGTGTGGAAATCTTGGCCATCCAATCAAAATTAGAAGCCGTGCAGATCGGGGGAGACAAGCACAGAGAAATTCAATCCAAATTAATGTCATATGGTGTAAGATCCCAATAAGTTTGTGGTTCTTTACTTTCTCAAAGTTGAGCCTTAGAGATATGAGTTTGAAATTATCCTAAATAAATGGTTTACAGATATCTGGTCCTTGTTTGGATGCTTCCTTTTGTTTTACACCTCAGCAGCTCAGCTTTTGCTTGTTTCTTCTTTGGCATTGTGGTGTTTTTTGTTCTTCACTGTAATATGCAGCATAGTAAATCTATGCTTTGGTCATTCCTATTCAGTTTGTCTTTAAGTAGCATTCAACTATCGTAATTTCGTATGTATATGAGTTGTTTATATTTATTTACAACTTGTTTCATCTCAAGGCAAACGTGGTTTGTAGCTGTGAGTATGTATTCATCAACTACTTTTTTTTAATTGGAGACATGTTTTATAAGACATCATATCTGTATGCTCTTACTCCGCCATTGAAGCACAAAACTCGCAGCTGCCAAAGAAATGCATTATTATCTAATTCTCTCTATGGTGCACTCGTTAGTGTAATATTGGCGATTTTTAAACAAGGCTGTGTATGATCCTTCATTTTATGCATATTAATAATGCCAGATTAATCTAAAAAAAAGGTATGCATCAACTACTTGTATATATGTGTTTTATTTTTATGTAATACATAGTAGTTAGATTGGTGTTAATCAGTTCATGATTACTGATGAGCTAAAGGGTTCCCAGTTGGATATGGCCTCAAGGAATTGGTATATACAAGTTCCCTTCCCACCATAAGTTTCCGTCTTTAATTTTGTAAGGGCAGAAATACCTGTCATAAGTTTAAAGTGGCCTTGAGTCCTTGACAATGCAGTGTCGACCTTCTGACTTTTCATTTAGTGGCTTTCAGACTTTTGTGATATTAAATCAAGCTTCACAAGCCAAGTGGTTCCAGCGTGCTTTTGAGCAGAGCTCAATTTCGGAAAGACAGGTTTGTCGAGGTCAGGTTTAGAACTTGCAGTGTGCTTCGTCTCGATTACCCACTTCCATTGCAAAGAGGCCAACAATACTCGTACTCCCAAGCTTACCAGGATTAATTTAACATGGGAGTTGGTTACTGCAAAGCACCCACAACCATGAAAAAAACTCTTTTTAGTGTTGTGTCTTGTCTATGAGGCTTCCCACTTTTCCTTGAAAGAAGGTTTGGTAACAAGGTTTGAGTAACCTTAGGCCTGCATGGCTGAATCCCTTAGGGTATGTTTGGGAGTTCAGCGAAGAGGGGGGAGGCTTTACTGTTTACAGGTTAATTATCGGAGGGGAAGGGGAAGGGGAGGAGATCCTTCTTGTTTGGGAGTCACAAATTTGAATAAAGAGGGGCTAAGAAGTAACTATAATTAAAATCCCTTGAAATATATGACGAATTTAAATAGTTAAATTTATATTCATTTTTAATTAAGTTAAAGTTATCATTTAATTATTCATCCTTCAAAATGCTCCAATTTGGGGAAACTTAAAAATTGAGCATTTGAAGGATTTTGAAGGATCACGAGAACATTCTAAAATCATTCCTTCCATTTTTCTGAACTCCTAATAAACAAAATATGAGATGTCATAAACTCTCCTAACCCTTCCTCTCTCATCCAAAACACAACTCCCAAACATACCCTTAATGTGCATAGACTTTCTAAGTTGCATACTACTAGCTAGGCATGGAGTCGGGTCGGGCCCGGGCCTAGGCCTGGTCGGGCCTTTTTGTGTTTGAGGGAAGGCCCGGGACCGGCCTGGGTTGCCACCGGGTCCGGGCCTCGGGCCACTTTGTATTTTTTACCCTTTATCTAATTAACCCCCCCAACCCCCCCAAATCACCCCAAATGGCCCAAAATACCCAGCCCAACTCGGGTTTTGAAAACAAATTGCAAAAAAAATAATAATGCCCGAACCGGACCCGACCGGGCCGGTTCCATATTCAGCTGACCCGAGCCCGCCCTTCCCTAACTAGTGGGCCGAGCCTACCCGAACCGGACTGTAGCGGGTCACCGGGCCGAGCCGGGCCCAAACAGTACCGTTCCCGGGCCGGTTTCAGGCTGGGCGGCCCGACCCGAGTCCAAGACTACTACTAGCATATTAAAAAAAGCTAATCCCCGTCTCATTAAACTTTGGCAGCTTTATTTAGTTGTTCCAAGAAATTTTCTTCTTCCCTTATGCTTAATGCACCAAAGAAATTTTCTTCTTCCCTTATGCTTAATGCACCAAATTTATACTAGTATTCGTATATAGTACCACCGGCTATACGGTGAGCACCGTACAGCCGGCCCAGTAACAAGCCCAAGGGAAAAATAGGAAATAAATTCGGTGGCAGTTTTGTAATTAATGTAAAAATCACGATTTCTGTTAAATGAGCATTATTGTAGTGTTAATGAGCAATAGTCCAATTTTAATGAGAATTAAGCGTACAATAATGAGCACCATATGTTAGTACAAGAAGCCTGATATCACAATTAAAAAACGGTGGCATTTTTGTAATATCAGTGAAAATCGTGATTTTCGATAGATGAGCATTGACACACTTTTAATGAGCATTAGACGTATTCTATTGAGCATCAAGAATCGAATAATGAGTAATGTAATATCGATTTCATATATTGTAATTCACTTTCTTTTCCTTATTTTTTCTTTTATAAAAACTCATTAATTATATTTCTCCAAAACAAAAACTCATTAATTATATCTATAATCAATTCCTATAAATTTTGATATGCGAATCTAATGTAATACGGAGTATGATACTTTTGAAATATGCATTGTTATGACATTTTTAAAATAGCATAACATGAGTAGCAATTGAGCATATGTAACTTACAAAATGAGCATAAATATGAAAATAATAAGATTTGTTAGTTAGACTGTAACACCGTCCCCAAATATATTTACTTTTATGTAAATAATGTATTGAACCTTATTAAAGGATTGATGAATTTACGAAGTTGTAAATTTTTATTATTTCTTTCGCGTGAATAGTAAATTGCACGTGGGACCCACACCGGGAGCGGGGGCCGCCCGACATTCCCGAGACCATATATTTTATTCATCTTGGTCTAGATAATAAATATATAGTGGTGGATATTTCATTTGGGCCATAGAAGGGCCCAGAGTCGACCGATTGGTCAAAAGAGGCCCAAATTACCGGTACTGGTAATTTAACGGAAACAGCCCGAAAATGAATCTCGGAGACTTCTAAATTAAAGTTTTGGAATATATATTATTTCAAAAAGGCATTATGATCGAGAACACACAATATATTTTATTTTACCCGATAAAATAAAATATAGTTAAAACAGTCCGAAAAATACAACTTTTGGGGCCGAATGTACACTTTGGGACACAAAGGGATGACCTCCCACATGAGTGGGGGCCACCCCACGTTTTTGTGGGCTGTGAGAGGAGGGAAGGCTGGCTGATTAGAGAGGAGGGGTGTGGGAGTGGTTGACTTGAGGGGATTGCATCAAAAGGACACATGGGGGGTCCTAGCCATGTCATCATGGTGGAATAAGCCAAAAGTTGGCATTTCCTCTCACCTCCACCCTCATTTTCGGCCAAGGCTCATCAAAACGAGAGGAAACCCCCTGAAAAATACATCCTCCATATCCAAGAACAAAGCCCAAGCAATAGGAGTCCAAGGAGGAAGATTATAGAAGGAAAAAGCTAGGAAAAGGTGTGAAAACTAAGGTAAGAACCTTATCATATCTTTTTCTTTATTTTTCTCCTACCATATAAGATATATATCATGTGAAGGATCCTTAAGAGGGTTCTATGTCCAAGAACGGACTTAGAAACCAAAACGACCGGTTCACCGGAAAAATAACTTTTTTGAGGTTATTTGTATTAACATGGGTTTTATGATTATAAAACCTTGTTAGGAACTTGTAAAGGGTATTTCAAGTGATTTCACAAAGTTGGAAAAGTCGCCAGAGTCGTCGCCGGAGTTGACCAAAAGTCGCCGGAGTTTCACCGGAGTTCAACCAAGAAGGGTAGAACTTCATAACGCTAGTTCAAGGTGTGTGGACGGCTTAATATCTTATAACTTTTGGGTTAATTATAAGATTACCTAAATAAAGGTTATATGTGTTCATAATGATGTTTAAAAGATATTTAAATATGTGATTAGCCAAGATAGATAAGTTTGTATGAAAGGAATTAATTGTTTATACATGAAATGTGATATGAGAAATAATATGAAATGCATATTTGTTGGAAAGGTAAAGGAAGCACAAATGATTATTATTAACTTAATTATATGATGATTAAGTTGATATGTACAAGGCTTGAATGGCGGTCAACGACGACGTTGACCGATGGATAATGGATTAATTAATATCGGTTGATATTAGTTAATTTTGCATTTATGTAATTGCATGGCTTTGCATGGATTGTGATACATAAGCTATATGTATTGAATTAGTTATGAATGACTAAGTGTGATATAGACTCTATCTAGGTTGATAGGAGGTTGATCATAGGGAAATATTTTGGTGGAGGACCCTAGTACTTAAAAGTACTTAACACTCAAAACTTGGTGGAGGACCCTAGTGCTTAAAAGTACTTAACACTCAAACTTGGTGGAGGACCCTAGGGCTTAAAAGTCCTTAACACTCAAACTTGGTGGAGGACCCTAGTACTTAAAAGTACTTAACACTCAAACTTGGTGGAGGACCCTAGGACTTAAAAGTCCTTAACACTCAAACTTGGTGGAGGACCCTAGTACTTAAAAGTACTTAACACTCAAAACTTGGTGGAGGACCCTAGGACTTATGAGTCCTTAACACTCACAAACCGGTGGAGTACCCAAGGATTATGATCCTCAAAACTCATAGACTATGATATTGAAATAGGGACAAGGAGGAGTCCTATACACTCATAGGTATATGGGTGGGTTGGGGTTTTTAGTCAAGAATATTGACTATTGCTATTTTTCCCAAATAAAACAGTGATCTACGGATCGGATATTTTCCAAGTAGATATATACTCATAAGTATTTCATAACTTGGGGGAAAGACTATTTATTTAAGTATCACCCTATGTTTGGGTCTTATACTTGAAACGCTAGTTATTCTATATTTAGCCTGCTACTCGCTCGGTACTTGTACTGACCCCTTCGGGGCCCCCCACCATTTTCAGGTTGAAGCTAGAGCTTGCTACTTGCACCTTCTCACGGGCGATATCGCATCAGGAAGACGTGGTTCGTGCTTCCTTATTTTCTTTCAAACTACCGAACACTTGCTCATGGATATTTGTTCTACTATAAACTATTTTGGGGGCTTGCATGCCCATGTTGTTGGCCGGTTGTGGCCTATGACTTACCGTTGAATATTTCCGCTATTCATTGGTTTAAATGTGATGTTGTTATGTATGTTTACTACTGAGTATGGATGGATTATTTTCTCGAAACGCCTTGTGTAATCAAGTGAGGTTGACTCGCGGGTGACGTCACTTTATTATACGGCGGTTGTACACGCGCTCGGATTGCGGTCTGGGGCGTGACAATTAAGTGGTATCAGAGCCATCTCAGTTCTAAACTATATAATCAACCTCTCACATGAGATTTTACAAAAGAGTTTTTACCGAAAACCATGAGTACTGTATTTTGACGTTTATGGGACTATTGGAGCTTAAGTTGCAAGGCCTCTAATTGTTAAGACGGTACCCTTAACAATTGGTATGGTAGTGACTTGGGCCAATATGCGTCTGTAACGTCCTTCCGTCAATTGACATTTATAGGAGTCTAATGACTCATCCATATTTCTTTCAGAAATGGAGGGCAGGCGAATGGGGACCCGGAACAATCCGAGGGGGCAGGCGCCGGTAGCATCCCAAAGGGGAAGCCGGGCTGCATCTCGGGGTTCGAGAGGAGGCCGTGGAGGCCGTGGAAGCCGTGGAGGTCATAAAGCTCAAACTGTGAGTGATGGCCATGTGAGCTCGGTGTATGAAACCAACACTGAGGACTATGACTCAACCTACGTTCCAGAAACGGAGCATGAGGAGACCCCGTATGACGGGGGTGACACATACACCGATGATGATGATGAAGAGAGTGATGCCAAGTTCGCCCAAATGGGCGAATTGCTTGAGTGGTATCAAAAAGAAAAACTGAGGAGAGACCTTAGGCGCCAAGCAAGGCGTGGCTCTCACGGTGGTTCGGGTCAAGGAAGCCGGGGAGCTTCAAGGGCCACTCCCGCGGCGTCACATGGTGGGTGTGAAGGTGGTTTTTGTGTGAGAATCTCCAAGTACCTCAAGGAGGCTAGGGCCTTGGGGTGTAAGTCCTTTGACGGCACCGGTGGTTCGGCTAGATGCTTTTTTTTGTAAATTCAATAATTTTATTATTTTATGTTTAATTAAGTATATTGCGCTTCATGGCGATATTATCGCACTATTGGTCATATTCACTGCAGTACAAACTTTCTTAATGCATTCATTCTCATTGAATAAATTATTTTTTCTCATTGAATAAAACTCCAATTGTGCGAAAGCAACATAAAACAAAACTCCACTCCCAATTTCTCATTGAATAAATTATTTTTTACTGTGGATCCACTAAACCGTCTCGATACATATTGGAAGAAAATCAATACACTACGTGTACGCACAATGAGGAGATTGGGCAGTGGGCCAGTGGCTGCAACGAGCACATGTAGGGCTGGCGATTGTGCTCTTGAACGACTGCAGACAAGCGGGCCATGGGGTGTGCGGCAGCAGAAGGCGTGCGGCGGCAAGGCATCTTGGAGGTGGGAGAATGTAGGTTAGGGTTGAAGAAAAGAGTAGGAGCTTAGTGTTTTATAGATATAACCTAAAGGGTATATTTGTCCATCTAAATTATATATCTCTTTATTTATTACGATTCTTCATTAAGTATTATGAATTTTAATAATATTTTGGTAAAAAACTAGTTAGGTCATAGATTAAGAAAGTGATGAAGTTTTAGTCATATCTAGGATAATTATCTCTAAAACTAAGTAAGATTGTTGTCTTTTCTGGTTAGATTTATTGAAAAAACTAAAATAGCTTTTTTTATATATATATTTTTGTTTATTCTATTGATAAAATATATTTTAAGTAGAATTCCTTCATTATTCAGGATATTAAACCAATTTAATAGAGTTTTAGAACATTTAGTTGATTCTGCCAATTTTAGCGTTACTGGATACACTCTTACTACTATTCCATGTGTGTATTTTATTAATGTTTGAGTTTGGTTTGATTTATTTAAATCTAATATGATCTATTTAATTTTGATTTGGTTTGATTTAGTCTAATCTGATCAAACACTTCAAATAAGGACATCTTAAGCACGGTATGTTTTACAAATTATTTTATTCAGCCCATGGTTTTCAAATTTAATTTTGACTTGGTTTGGTTTAGTCTTGATAGAATTCCAACCCTAGGGACGACCGAAAAGCCGAGTAAGGGAGAGACTAAAAGTGCTAAGTAAGATCGAGTAAGAAACCAGAGTAACAACAAGTTTAATTTGCACACAAAATTTCAAATCCATTTCCTCAAATTGGAAGGTGATATTTATACTATGAAGAAAATACTTGGTCAACAAGTAAAACTACTAAAGGCAGCGCTAAGCAGACCCAACACACGTGATGAAGAGGTTGAAAATGTCCTCGAAACGAGCAGTGCGGGTTTTGAGGGAACAAACAATTATATAGTGTAAGGATTGCTCTCTAAAGGTAAAGGCATAGCTGATTCCCAAGAGGAAGAGCCCTGAAAGCACAAAGGGATACAACTGAATATTAGAGAGGATACTCAAGCTAGCATAGAGGTATATGACGAGCAAGATCCAAAAACCGGACAGGTGGCGGTGCGAGGGGACGACACAGTCCTTTCATATTCAAAGAAACCCTTGGAGATGAGAAACGTTCGACGGTCAAGTAAGAAGACAAACTTGTGATTGGTGAAGAGTTAGCAGTGGCGATTGATTCTTTTTCTTTAGTGGTGGCTGGTCAAACCACGATAACCTTACCAGTGAATGGAAAAACTGAATTTTGTCATTCTTTTTACTGTTTTTCTTCTCGGAACTTTTTAGTTACCTCTCTCTATCATTCTAGTAGCAAGTGCAATATTGCTGTTGGTGGAGTCTACCAAATTGTGGGGTTAGCGAGTTGGTTCGCCACTAAGCGATCATCCAACTCTATGTCTCATCCCGGTGTAGCCTTTATTTGGCAGCTTTGTATGTGAACATTTTCTTTAATATGAATTAAGTTATCTTTTGCCAAAAAAATGATATTCTATTGTGGTGAAAACATATGGGGTAGTAGGGGTTAAGTAGTAGGGGTTGGGGTAGTAGGGGTCGAACTAGTAGGGGTTGGGGTAGTAGGGGTTAAAAATAGTAGGGGTTCAACCCCTACTAGTAGGGGTTTAAAATAATAGGGGTTGGGGTAGTAGGGGTTAAGTAGTAGGGGTTGAACTAGTAGGGGTTAAAAATAGTAGGGATTGAACTAGTAGGGATTGAAGTTAGTAGGGGTATAAAATAGTAGGGGTTGCACTAGTAGGGGTTGGGGTAGTAGGGGTTAAATAGTAGGGGTTGAGGTAGTAGGGGCACTAGTTCCTTTACCCATTTGCCCAACTAGCTTAACCCCTACTAGTTCAACCCCTATTATCCCAATCCTTATTAGTTCAACCCCTACTATTTTAAACCCCTACTAACTCCAATCCCTACTAGTTCAACCCCTACTATCTCAATCCCTGCTAGTTTAACCCCTACTATTTTATACACATACTAACTCCAATCCCTACTAGTTCAATCCCTACTATTTTTAACCCCTACTAGTTCAACCGCTACTACCCCAACCCCTACTACTTAACCCCTACTACCCCAACCCCTACTATTTTAAATCCATACTAACTCCAATTCCTACTAGTTCAACCCCTACTATTATTAACCCCTACTAATTCAACCCCCACTACCTCTACCCCAACCCCTACTAGTTCAACCCCTACTATTTTTAACCCCTACTAGTTCAACCCCTACTACCCCAACCCCTACTACTTAACCCCTACTACTCCAATCCCTACTAGTTCAACCCCTATTATTTTTAACCCCTACTAGTTCAACCCCTACTACTCCAACCCCTACTACTTAACCCCTACTACCCCAACCCCTACTATTTTAAACCCCTACTAACTCCAATCCCTACTAGTTCAACCCCTACTATTTTTAACCCCTACTAGTTCAACCCCTACTACCCCAACCCCTACTAACTCCAATCCCTACTAGTTCAACCCCTACTATTTTTAACCCCTACTACCCCAACCCCTACTACTTAACCCCTACTACTCCAATCCCTACTAGTTCAACCCCTACTATTTTTAACCCCTACTAGTTCAATCCCTACTACCCCAACCCCTACTACTTAACCCCTACTACCCCAACCCCTACTATTTTTAACCCCTACTACCCCAACCCCTACTAGTTCAACCCCTACTATTTTAAACCCCTACTAACTTCAATCCCTACTAGTTCAACCCCTACTATTTTTAACCCCTACTAGTTCAACCCCTACTACGCCAACCCCTACTAACTCCAATCCCTACTAGTTCAACACTTACTATTTTTAACCCCTACTACCCCAACCCCTACTACTTAACCCCTACTACTTAACCCCTACTACCCCAACCCCTATTATTTAACCCCTACTACTCCAATCCCTACTAGTTCAACCCCTACTACCCCAACCCCTACTATTTTAACCCCTACTACCCCAACCCCTACTAGTTCAACCCCTACTATTTTAAACCCCTACTAGTTCAACCCCTACTATTTTAAACCCCTACTAGTTCAACCCCTACTACCCCAACCCTCCCAACCCCTACTAGTAGGGGTTGAACTAGTAGGGGTTGGGGTAGTAGGGATTAAGTAGTAGGGGTTGGGGTAGTAGGGGTTGAACTAGTAGGGGTTTAAAATAGTAGGGGTTGAACTAGTAGGGGTTGGGGTAGTAGAGGTTTGGGTAGTAGGGGTTAAGTAGTAGGGGTTGGGGTAGTAGGGGTTAAAAATAGTAGGGGTTGAACTTGTAGGGATTGGAGTTAGTAGGGGTTTAAAATGTGTACACCAGAGCTGGTTTAAACATGTTCAAAGTATTACTTGGCTAACAAGAATAAGTGCAGTAGTCTAATCGTGTGGCGATACATGTAAAGATGATTGGAGAGATATCTTGGACAGCTGGCTGATTGATACCGTGTAACAAAATTGTCTTTTGTGTACCCGAACGCATGTGCATGTCATACTTGTGCTATCTAGAATATTCCGTGTCCCTTTGCCACGCCTGGGTGCCGTGGCCCTCAGGCAGTCGTCATGCTGGTGACGTGACTACAATTGTGTGTGTTGCTTGATTGTTGAAATGTCCAAGTCCACAACTGACTGACGAGGTCCAGATCTCAGCAGATGGGTAACCCTAAAGAATGGTGCATTGACTCGGGAGCTACCCGACATATTTGTGTAACCAAATGGACGTTCACCAATATCAACTTGTTGATAATGAGGAACAACTCTTTATGGGTAACTCTTCCACATATAAAGCGGATGGTTTCGACAAAGTCGTCCTGAAATTGACGTGTGGGAAGACTCTAACTTTGAATGACGTGCTACAGGTCCCCGAAATACGCAATGGGCTCCTCCTTAGCAATAATGGCTTCAAACTTGTTTTCATGACTGATAAATTTGTACTTTCAAAAAATGAAGTGTTTGTAGGGAAGGTCCATCAAGTTTATTTGAGGACATCTTAAATAGTGTATGTTTTGCAATTCTTTTATTCAGCCCATGGTTTTCAAAATATTTGTAATGTATTAAGAAAAATCTACATACTAACCTGAAATTCATAAACATTTTTTATTTCACTCCGAATTCGTGTAGTATTTGATATGATTATATATTGTTGTATTTCGTTCCGTTTTAAGCGTTTTCTGTCTCGTTGGAAACATCTTATCGAGTTTTAAAATTCGTATTTAGGCATTGTTTTCAAAATATTCCGGAATAATTATCTTATGAACTGAATTTCGTATTCATGTATGCAAATTTAAGGAACAAATAGTTACAAATATTCAAAGTAAGATCATGAACAAAATAGTTTTATTTGAAAAAAATTCAAAGTTACAAAAATAAAAAAATGGTTATGAACCCGTGCGGTTACATTGAAATTGACTGAATCGGTTCATTCTATTGAAACTTATCAAATTCTGACTGAAGTAGCTGAATTGGATGATTCATGATTCTACTGATTTATGGAAAAATATATTTTATCGATATAATAAAGAACAAAATAAATGAAAAATAGTTAAAATGACATTCAACAGTGACTTCAGTCAATGCAACAAGAAAATTTAATTCTAACCTTACAAGTCGCTCAACCGTTTGGCGACTTACCCATAAATTAAAAAACCGGGTTAAGCTATAAAAAAAAGAGGGGCAAAATTGTCTTTTGAGACCCGATAGTCGTAAAATTCAGCGGGTCT